TTATTGGATTGAATGCAATCCAATCCACCTGCCAATCGAAGATCTCTTTCCTTATTGGGCAGAGCTCACGTCGAGTGGGGTTATGGCTTCGGTGATGGTCGGCTGAAACGTTACTCTAATGGCTGGATTTGGGGAAGGTGTCAGGGCCCCAGAGGGTTACGTGAACGCCACTCACACTCTGATATTGCCACCCCAACCCTAATGGCGGAGTCTGGGAAAGGACGAGGCTGGCTGAACCTCCAGCTAAGTTGGGGCGGAGTCGGAGACCTGCGCGGCTCCTCAACGATGCAGATCCACCCCTTCGGGGCGGGGCCCGCGCCGTGTAGCTGCGCCTTTGTCCCTTCTGCTAGCGGGCAACTTCTCCCTGGAGGACAACTGGCGCGTTCGAGGACTCGGCAGAGCCCATGGGCAAAGTCTGCTCGTTGTTGTAAGCCGAAGCCGACTGAACCAGAAAACCTGTCGTGAACTCGCAACGCTCAAGGGCTTGGAGACCTCAGCATCCCGGTGCACCTCCGTGAAAGGAGGGCCCGATACCCAAACTGAGTGGTTTGTTAGAGGAGCGGAAGTGACACTGTCTGAAGAACTGTTTTTCGCTCTCGGTTTCTCTCCAGCTGGCCTGTCTTCCCTTGAGACCCAAGACGCCTCCCCCTGGGCCTGGGGTGGAGGCTGTGCCAGGGGACGCTGAGCCTGGCTTGTTTACTTAGGACTCCTCCAAGACGCAGGGTGGACCAAGAGCTCGGGAACTGGGAGAAGCAGCGGTGACCTACTTCCCTAGCTCCAGGCCCCACAGGGCATAGTATCTCTAGAAGCATGTTGCCTTAGGAACTCAGGGCACTAGGTCTCAGGGGCTTGGGTGCAGGTGCAAAGGCTCAGGCGCTCTCCCACAAAAAGGAGAAGAGGGCGAAGTGGAGTGCTTTGCAGGAAGATTTCAATGGACCAATACCTGAGCTACCAGGGAGCCCTTAGAGAAGGCCTAACTAGGCCTCAATTCTGGAGGACAGGTAATGTCCAAAGTAGATAAGATGTTCATATTGGATTGGTTCATCCCCGAGGTCAGAAAACTTTTCCTGCCCAGTGCTCTGTACCCATACCTGTGTTGAACCTAGGGAACCAGAGATAAATTAGTCTCCCTTCAGGGGAGGAGAGGAGGACAGCAAATCTATCATCACTGTGCAAAGAGATCAGGCCTGTGCCAGGATCTCCAAGAAGGTTCATAATCCTCCCTCCCCCCAGGGTTACAGGGCCTCCACAGGACTAAGTAGGAATTGGAAAGATGGCCAAGAAGTGAGGAAGATGGTTCCAGGCAGAGAACAGATTTCCAAAAACTTAGAAATCAGAAAGTACTTGCAGGAGCAGAAGCCAAAGATAAGGCCAGATGAATGGGCAGAGTGCTGCAGGCCACTACAAACTACCTAGATTTTATCCTGAGGGAAACAGGGAGCCATAGAAGGATTTAGAGCAAGGAATTTAACATACTCAGAATTTTGGATGAATTACTAAAATGGACCGGGGGAGTGTGAAGTTAGGGGTAGAAGAAAATAACAAGAAGAGGGAGAAAATGGTGTTGTGCCCTCCTAATGGGCAACTTCAGGATGTGTTGTCCACCACCCCCCCAACTTCCCCCCAACATACTTTCCAAGTTACTTATCATCTGGATTGATCTTTATCATAAAGATAAATTAATTAATTAATTAATTAATTTTAAAAAATGGATCTTTATCTAGCCCCTCTGTCCTCCAACCAGGGACTCAGCTAACCAGGCCACAAAGAATGCAAGAGGGAGACCCTGGACTTACCAGCCCTACCACTGGGAAGGGACCACAGAAGCTGGAGATGGCTTGAAAAATTCACCAATTCACCAAATGCATCCATCTGTGTGTCTGTGTTATTCATCTACGTTCCCAGCCACTGTGTACCTGGAGAACACTTAGAAGGGGTCATTTCTTGGGAAGGCTTATGGTCTGGAGAAAACAGAACTCTCGATTGATAAGGGCTAGAGCATCAGTAGGCACTGACTGCAGGAAGAGTGTCACCATCTTTGTATGAAAATTAGCAATGGCTTAGAGCTCTGCAGCCTTGGACAGAAGCCTGCCCCCACTCACACATATCAATACATGAACTCTCTCCATTCCTTTTCCTCAGCCAGCTCAAAAGCTCTCTTAGATGGTAGGAGGTCATCTGACCTACCTCCAGCCTTCTGAGAGCACTGTGAACCAGGAGGCCAGGGGACCAGAGCAATAGACAGCACTCGTGACTGGTGGACAAGGACTGTGGAGATCGCTATATATCCCCTTTTCCCTCCTCCATGAATTCCAGCCAGATCTGAGATTTAGGAAAAGCCATTACTTTCATCAGCTGCCATAGGCCTGGCCCTGAACCCCACTGTTGAAGTCTCTCCCGTGGCCTCTGAGCCATGGTACAGCTTAGCCCAAAACAGCCCAGCCCAGCCCCTTTTATTAGGGGAAACAGGAGCTCTGGAGCAAAGTCAGAGTTTAGAAAAGTTCTTTCTTTCCATGCCACATATCCCATGCAACAAGCTTATTTGAGTCTTCTTTTGTGCCTGCTCCCTACTCCCACGCTGAGGCTGGCCATAGGCAGCACAAGGACTGCCCTTGAGCAGCTCCTAATCTGGACAGAGGCAACACCAGCCAACTACATTGACAAAAGTTGGTTGCTGAAGTCAGCACAGGGTGCTGAGAAGACAGGGTCAGCACTTTGTCCTCAGATGCTAGGCTGAGGAGTTTGGACTTGATCCAGAGGGGAGTGGAGAGCCATAGAAGAGTTCTGAATAGGACTGACATCTGGAAGGAACTAAATGTGCACGGCTGCAGGGTTAAGAGATTCCCCACTCATCTCTTCTTTCTTTCTTTCTTTCTTTCTTTCTTCCTTCCTTCCTTCCTTCCTTCCTTCCTTCCTTCCTTCCTTCCTTCCTCTCTTTTTTAGAGCATGAGCTGGGGAGAGAGGCAGAGGGAGGGAGAGACAGAGAATCCGAAGCAGGCTCCACGCTCAGTGCAGAGCCCAATATGGGTCTCAATCCTTTGACCCTGGGATTATCAAGAGTCAGATGCTTAACTGAGCCACTTAGGCACCCCAAGATTCCCCACTCATCTTTATACAAAGTCTAGTCTTCTTGCTGTGATCTCCAGATGTGCCACCCTCTCCATCTCTACTCATCCTTATATGTCCCCAAAGTGTGATGAGCTAAGAGCAAGTCCTCAATCTAGGTGGCTGGAATGGATGACTACATATTATGGACACTAGCTCAGACAGAGGTTTGGGCATCTAAATAGCCTTAGTTTAAGGTGGGCATTGTGAGAACAATGAGTGGAGCTTTCAGACCCAACTGGACCCTCCCAGTAGGTCCCAGACCTTGGGCAGGTCACTGTGAGACCATGGCAGGCGTCTCTGAGGTATGCTAAAGTGAGACCATTTAAGAGCCAACATATTCAACCAGAATCTTTGCCAGACATCCTCAGTTATGGAATATACACTAGCCCCTCCCCCACCTGCTCTCCTATGAATGTCCCATCTCCCCAGTGCTTTTCCTGTGTCCTCTAAGTCCCAATACTCTAGTCTCTATCTTAACAGCTGACCTCTACCTCAGGTAAGTCTGCAGGTCTCCTCCATAGCCCAGAAATAAACCTGACCCCACCAAAGGGGCTTCCCCAGGGAAGCTACATTGGTGGAAGAGGCCTGAGAGTACAGTACAACCCTACAGGAGAAATGGACTTGGTATTTGGCTCCCATAGGATCTGACTAGCTCAGGATGCCTGGGGGTCTAATGGGGCTGCTCTGTCTGCCCTGTTCCAGTTGGGGCATTTTAACTGAGATAGTTTTTTGTGAGAAAAGTCAGAAACTGTGCCTAAAGCTTGATGGCTAAGCCGGGAACAAGCCTCAGTCTGTCTCCTGGATGGGGCCTTGGAGCTCTGGTCTGGGAAGCTAGGGCAACCCCAGCATGGACTGACCTCATTAGCCACACAGTGCCCTCTCATAGGCCTGTTTATCCTGCAGCCAGCCTCATGCAGGCAGAGCAGCTGATCTCCCTCTCAGAGAGGGCCCTTAGGCCCAAAGAGAACTAGAAGTGACTTGCCCAAGGTCAGACAGCAATGGGCTCTGGGAGGCAGCTGGTAGTTCAGTATCCTTATCTGCAGACAGAAGAACAAGTATGCAGAGGGATGCAGCTCTGGGACTGAGCCAGAGGCCTCGCCCACCTGGTGGTCCCAGGCCACCAAGGCCAGGGGCTGCTGGCTGGCATAGGAGCCTGACCCTAGAGACATGGGAGAAACATGCCCTTGGCCTGGAGGGGAATCCCCCTCCCTACAGAACTTGGAAAAGGGGAGGAGAAGTAGTGTGTTTACAGTGGAGGAAGCGGGGGTGGTGCAGGGCAGGGACCTTTGGTCAGAACGCCCCTCCCAGTAAGAGGGGGAGGCCCCATGAGATGTGGTAGCCGTTTGTTTGCTTCTCACTGCCAGGAGGAAATTAAAGAGAATCTGCCACTTCCTTCCGGCCCAAGTGGGATAGTGGGGGTTGGGGGCAAACAGTGGTGTGGGTGGGCAATTTTAAGGGCCCCAAACTGCTGGCATCAGCAACCTGTGTTCTCAGTGTCCCCTACCCAGAGCAGACACCTTACTTCAGGTCTGAGCTCCAGCCAGCTGGGGGGTCTGACCCACAACCTGCCCAACTTATCTGAGCTGGTCCCTCACTGGGGTACCAGATACCCTAATTATATCCTAACTGTTCCCCAGATTCTATAGCATCTCTCTTCAAGAAAGTCAGTTGATAGGCTTGATAGGCAGTTGATAGGCAGTACCTCAGGTTTGCCATCAGTAAAATGGGCTTCTTGGGCCTTCGTGGCTCAGCCCAAGTCCAGTGAGCATTAAAGGAGATACCCCATCCCCCACTTCCAACCAGATCCATAAGGATGGGTAGGGGATATGCTGTTGCAAGCTCCAGCTCTGCACGGAGGGTAGGAGTGAAAGAATTAGGCAAGGCCATGAGTCTGTGCGTGACAATGCCCGGGGCTGAAGCAGGCAGCCACGGGTAAGGGTAGAGGTGTCTTTATTGCACTGTACCAATGTCAGGTTGAGGAGGTGCCACCCAAAAAGTTCCTGTTTTCAAAGAAAATACTGACGTCACTGGGAACTTGGCCCTGCTACTCAGACCCATCAAGGAAGATGTGTACCCTAGGAACCCTTTGGTTCAGGCTGATAGCCCAGGCCAGGACCTCTTAACTCCTGCCAGGAACAGTCAACAAACTGTCCAATGGCATCTGGTTCATGCTTTGCACCTACAGCCAACTTATGACCAGGCCCCTAGACGGGGTGGCCAAGGTAGGGACAATGGTCACCAGCCTTCCAGGGGGCTCTCTTCACCACTTCCCAAGGCCACAAAGGGTTTCTTGCACAGCTTCCCAGGCACTGTTGGCTCCTGAGCTCTGGGACCCCCAGGATCTTGGTCAGGGGCTTCCCGTTTGCGCTTCTGCAAGGAAGGGCTCTCTTCACCCAGCCGACCTTCAGGGAGGCCCCGGCTCCGCAGACAGACGATGGCTGCAGCCTGCTCTGCCAATTTCTTAGACTTGTCCCTGGACAGATGAGGGATGGGACAATAAGGCAGGCTGGCTGGAGGACTAGAGGCCAGAAAGGCCTGACTCTACACACCCTTGGGCAAAGATTCTGAAAAGATTGAGGAAGGGAGTCATTACCCAGGGATGCCACTGCCCAGGTACACCATCCTCCCCAAACCCTCTTATGTCAATGCTGGGTACAGGCCCCTCATCCCAAGCCCCAAACCCATTGATGAGGACACTCACCACAAGGTGGACTGGTACTTTTGCTCAGCAACAGTCACAATAGAGCAGAAGAGGCGATCCAAGGGGCGCTGAACCTGGTGCAAAGAGAGCAAAGACAACAGGGATGGCTACATGGGGGCAAGAGGAATGAGCCCTGGGGCTCACCTACTAGGATCACATGGAAGGCAGATAAAGGGAAGTACTCCCACCTAAGTTAAATGAAGCTACTTGTATCACATGCTCCTCCCTAGCAGACGTGCCTAGTGCATCTGCCAGGGAAGAAAGGCAGATACACAAACAGGTAACGACATTCCAGTGTATCAGGAGTTCAATCATGGACGTAAGCAAATGGCCATCAGAGCCCTTAGCTGCGCGTGACTATGGATCCTGCTTCTACTGACATCTGGATGGGCCAGATCACTCAAAATGAGGAGGAGTTCACCAGATGGCAAAGCAGTGAGAGAAGGCAAGGATGGGGCAGACAAGGTACTCTTGGCAGAGCGACCAGATGACGTGGCTGGACACAGAGGTGAGTGGATGAGACATGAAGCAGAAAGGCATGTGGGGGGCCTTGTGCTCTGTGCTGAGGTGCTGGAGCTTGATCCCAAAGGCACCGGGGAGAGGATGAGGACTTGGGCAGGGAGGCAGAGGTCAAGTTCATTTTGGAAAACTCACTCTGGGAGAGGGGGACACAAGTCCCAGAAGGTACAAGTTTAGAGATCAGAGGTCAGAAGACCAGTCCAAAAGAGACAGAGCAGCCTAAATAAGACATGCCCACGGGGACCAAGGGAGGTGAAGAAAGAATGTCTTAAAAGTTTCCACCAAGGGGCCACAAGTCTGGGGCCCAATTCTGTGCCCCAATGACTAAGGCCTGGTCTAAAAGCATGTCTAATTTTTAGGTTTGAGCATCCTTCCTAAGTAAGCCAATTGGCCCTTTCCAAAGAAGTCTCCCTTGTCTAAGCAACACCACTGGCAGGGACTGGCCCAAGCAGCCCCTTACATAGGTCTCAACTTCAGTTTTATGAAAGTGGCCAGAATTAGACAAACAGGCCCACTGACTCAGGGAAGGGGCTTTCATATCAGCAATTGGTCTGGCCGCCACCAACCATTGCATATTGCCTGCTCATGGAAGACAAAGCCAGGCTCCAGTCAAGAAGTCTGGAGTTCAGAGTACAAGCTATGAGTGTGTTTGGGGTGATGACATCAGCCATGGGAGCACCATAGGGCCAGGTGCAGGACCTCACCGTGTCATACACAGGCTGCGCCAACTTCTCCCTCCGGCACCACTCCAGCAGACACATCTTGGGGGTGATCTGGGGTGAGTATGCTCTCCTGGGGAAAGGAGGGGAAGGAGTTAGGGCTCATCCACCATCACCACCAGGCTTCTGCCTTAGGATTCCTGTACTTATTCCCTTGAGTTCCCATTTCTGTCCTACCAGTGGGGTGGGGCCTGGGTTCTCCCTAAAAGGAAGATGGGCTTCAGTATGCTTGAGGAATTGCGATAGGACATGAACTTCCAGCAGTCTGAACTCTAGCCTGGAAAACAGCCTTCAACAGCCAAAAAAGAAGATCCAGTTTGCCTCTTAAGACAAGACAGGAAAGAGTGGGTAGGGGTCGGGAACACAGATGGCTACACAGTGGTCTCAGATCTACCTTACTACCCACCTTTATCATGTCCCCTGAGTATCAAGATGATCTCTTTCTGCCTTGGCCACGGTTTACTCTTATTTCAGAGTCAGAGTCAGTCGGTGATAGGGTGATAGGGTAGAAGGCACTATGTTCCAACTTCCTACCAGGAGCTCTCTCCAGATATGACTGACCAACAACTATGCCCACATTCCTTCCTCCCAAGCCCTTGCCAGACAAGACTGGCTCTGGTATGGGCCTGGGGACCTGAGAAAGTCTCAGATCCCAGACGGCAGAAGACATGGATGAGGACCTTACTCCAAGCTGAGTCACACTCAGAAGCAATAATCATCTTGAGGCTACTTCTGCCTAAAGAGGGTGCCACAGGGCTGGTATGGGCCAATGGGTATGGGCAGGGGTTGCACAGCCAGATGAGGGTGAGGGTCCCACTGCCTTGGAGGCAGCTAGATGCTCAGGGCCAGGGGAAGAGCAGAGACTTTCAAGAACAGGAGACAAGTTCTCCATCCTGAGTTGTGGGAGGGGGTGGATCAAGGAAAAGGTGGAGGTTAGTCACACTTGGGACAACATGCACACCCCTGACAGTGCTGCCTGGGCTTTTTTGGAGGCCATGTTTCCCAGAATGCCTTCTCTGGGACACTGAAAAATGAGAACAAGTATCCAAACCAAGAACACTTGTGGTCCCTAAGCTTAGCATTAACCATGTACAGCAGCCAGCTGAGGGCACTGACGGTGGTCAAGCCGAGGCCAAGCTGGAGACCTACCGGTCAAACTTGACAGCCATCTTAATGACACCAGAGATGTCTTCAGCTGGCTCTCCCGCTGCCTCTGGGGTCCTGGCTAAGAATTCAGCCCGCCGGGCATTCAGCTCTCGTGTCTTCTCCTCATAGAAGGCACCAAGGCCAAAGGCCTCACTGTGGAGGGATAAGCAGAGCAGTGTAAGTCCTTTAGTGGAGCCAGCATCTAGGAAACTACTGCAGGAGCCCATGGCCTTGCCATTGAGAAATGCCCTCTCTCCCCCCCACACACATATACATGAAAACACCACCAAGACCTAGCCATCAGAGGAAGCCTCCTACCAACCCCTGTGATCAGCCTGGACTGGTAGAGAGTGAATGTGAACCTCTGAGGGTTGACACTGGAGGACAAGCTGGGGTGGGTGGAAAAGGCTGTAAAGGTCACCTCTACCACCTAAGCCCAGCCTCTCTTCCAAAGAAGAAAACAAAAGCAAGTGTCTCTAGCCAACAGTGAGTGAACTGACCTACACTGAACAAGTGCTCGGGTTATGCACAGCCTCATCCTCATGTGGGCCCAAGGGAGGAAGACACAGAGGCCACGACCACTAAGTGGTTCCCCACTTCCTGCCCCAGCCACAAGCAGTTGGGCCTAGACTAAACTGAGGTACCATCAAGGGCTGCAGAATTATACTCTTTCTCTTGGGCTCACAAGACACCTGAGTCAACCCTGGTTAAGCTATGTGGGGTAGGGACAGAACCAACATAAGTACAGGGTTGGGAAGAGACTTCTGGCAACTCTTTTCCCTCCTAGGAAGCATCTTGAGTGCTGGAGGATATTTGTGAGGATGGGTGCCTGGGCAGAAGCGTGGTTTAGAAAAGTTTCTTTGAGGAGGGAGGAAACAGATAGCCAACATGAGGAAGAGAGTGCATTCAGGCAGAAGACCTAGTGTGAATACAGGTGTGGAGCTGAGGAAGTAGACAGGTAGATATGAAGCCAAAGGAACAGGTATTAGGCCAGGTTGTGAGGGGCCCCAAAGGTCAAACACCTGAACTGGAGCTATGCCAAATAGAGAGGACTAAGGGGTAGCCTCCCAGACTGCAGAGTGATGGGATGTGGGTGCAGGTTCAGGCCAGGGGCTCAATTTTGACCATTGGATCTTGATGGCCTGGTGTGTGACAGATCTGTTACCATGAAAGTCCTTTCCTCCCCAGGAATTTCCAAGCCCAGCCCCCACATTCCTCCATCCTACTGGCATTCTAGTTCCAAATTCTGCTGTGGGATCAGTCCATGGATGGAAAGTTCCAAAGATTTCTTAAGAACCCTATTCTGTGATGTAAAACTGTATCACCACTCCAATCCAGTACATCCACCTCCAGAAGTTATATTCCTGGTCCCCTGATAGTCAACTTAGGGCTCATAGTCAAGCCTGGGCAGCATCTGCAAAGAATGATGGATAGCCATAGCCCCTCTCACCAAATTTCCTGGGAAGATTGGGCAGCATGGAGCAACCTTCCCTGGGGCGACTCCAACTGTTCTCGTAGCATCTGGCACAGGCAGTACTTGGTATTGGTGTAGTGGTTTTCATACTGCACGGCCTGAGGGAAGAACCAACATGAGCCCACTTGCTGCCCAGACAGGCTCCGAGGCCTGAACTATGCCCTGATGGCAGAGAAAGGGCCTCCAAGAGTGCATCAGAGGTGTGCTTACTGATGAGGCAGTAGGACCTCATAAGAAAAGCCATCTCCACCCTGGTCATCTGTTCCTCCAGTTAGTGGCATAAAGCTCAAGAGTCACAGCTGAGGCCTATGGGTCAGGAGCATACTCTACTGAACAGCCTGACAGAAGTCCAGATGTGCGGGGAACCCTTCCTGCTTCAGACACCATAGGCTACCACAGAGGACCCACTGCCATTGTAGGGCAGGGAGGGGGAGTAAGTCAAAATGTGGTACAGCAGGAACAGCACCAGGATGGGTAAGATTCTTCTATTTCTCAACAGTGTAGAACAGCCTGTCTCCAATTTCCCCCTCCATGGGTAAAGCACAGCACAATCTGCCAATCATGTTCACATGTTACTTGTCACTTCACTGAGCTTCACAAGCATAAGATGCAGTTGTCACCCCTACTCCACAGACTGAGAAATGCAGGCTCAGGGAGGCAAGCTGACTACACAAGGATACCCAGTAGAAGCCTGGAAAAGCAGTGAGTGAAGGACGCCCTGGCCCTCTAGAACACCCTCCCACGCTCGCTCCGTGCACTCTTCTAATCTCTCCATCTAGGCCCGTGTCTTCAGTACCTGGGAAGGTATAGTGACACACTGAGGACAAAGCAGAGATATGTTGGCTAACCCCCAGATGGTGGCAAGGTCTTGATTCAGCTTGTCAGAAGGCACTTGGCTGGACCAGAAGCAGCCCTGCCTATGCTTGAAAGCCACTCCCTTCCTCCAAGACAACAGCTCTTGAGGAGCTGCCAAGGGATATACTGAGCAAGAATTATAACATCACCTTTTACCTAGTTAGCAAGCTCAGCACTGCTGAAGGTATCTTCTCTGCTACAGACTTGCCACCCAGCTGGAAGAGCTAGACAGGTGACCTAGGCTAAGGCAAGCCCCCTTGTCTCTAGCTGACCCAGGGTACTGGAGAGGCTGGTGGTCATGAACCTGCCCAACAGGACATCTGGAACCCAGGGGATGAGGGCTGTAGCATCAAGCAGAGGAGACTCTAGGGACAGAAATGGCCCATCTTTGGATAGAAGCCCCAGGGCCTCCTACCATCCCCAGCTTGCACAGTCCCAGAGATATCCACATGCCATGGCAGCCACAGTACCAAAGGCATGGCCATGGCCTGAAGGGGGCATGGGCAGTCTGCAGATCTGAGAAGCTCCTGACCTTCCTAGGAGGGTGCAACTCCCAGTACTGAAGAGGATGAGGGCTAGACTCTCTGCTCAGCCCAATGCACTGAAGAGTTAGAAGTCTACTGACTGTCTCTGCCTGCAGACATGTACAGCTAATCACAGAGACTCACAGAATTCCAGGATTGTACCAAAGGGTCAGGGCAGGTGAACTGGTCAAAAAATTCCTTTAGAGGGATGGGGTGCCCGGATGGCTCAGTTGGTTGAGCATCTGACTTCGGCTCAAGTCATGATCTCGTGGTTCGTGAGTTCAAAGCCCCACGTTGGACTCTATGCTGACAGCTCAGAGCCTGGAGCCTGCTTCAGAATCTGTGTGTGTGTCTCTCTCTCTGCCCCTCCCCCGCTCGTGCTCTCTCTCAAAAAAAAATTTTTTTTAAGAATTTTAAAAAATTCCTTTACAGGGAAATGTTTCTGGCACTACCATCAAGCTCTCAGTGAGAGGAAAAAGCTAGTCCCTAAGGAGAAGGTTAAAGTTAGGCTATTCAGAGGTTAAAGGGTTTTGGGAAGGAGCAAAAGAAGAGTTTTATTTTACTTCAATTTTTCTGTTGTTTTTGTTAAGTAAACTCTACACCCAGTGTGGGGCTTAAACTCACGACCTCAAGATCATCACCCATATGCTCCACCAATTGAGCCAGCCAGGCACCCCAACAAGAAAACAGTTTTAGAAGTGATTTTGACTCATGACAAGATGCAAAGTCTTTACATAGATAATCTGTCCTCAACAATAGTTACAATGACTTTTCTTGGCTGTAGCTGCTCAGGTACCAATCCATTGGCATGAGTGTATTCAGTGACACAGATCCCATTGTCATTGTGCATGCGTGTGTATGTGTGTGAAGGGATGTGAGAGAGAAAGATTCACATGTTTGGGGCCTCAGCAGCATCCTGAATCCCAGGGTCCTTGATAGAATCCCATCACCTAGAAAGCTTTAGAAAGAGGTGATAGTAGGGGCCTCCCTAGCATCCTTTCTTCACATTGCAACCAGGGAGGCCCAATGCTACATTATAAGAACTGCAAAGAGGGGCGCCTGGGTGGCTTAGTTGGTTAAGCGTCCAACTTTCACTTAGGTCATGATCTCGCGGTTCGTGGGTTCGAGCCCCGCATCGGGCTCTGTGCTGACTGCCAGCTCAGAGCCTGGAGCCTGTTTCAGAGTCTGTGACTCCCTGTCTCTCTGACCCTCCCCTGCTCACGCTGTCTCTCTCTCTCTCTCAGAAATAAATAAAACATTAAAAATTAAAAAAAAAAAAAAAAAGAACTGCAAAGAAAAGGAAAGGAACAACAAGGTCTGCTGGGGGCTGGGGGCTCACCCAAGGCACTTTCTGCAGGAATGTGGCAGACAGTGAAAAATGTTTCTTTTGAAAAAGTACATAGACATACATATCGGATGTACTTCTGCATGACCTCCTCCAGGGGTCGCAGACCTTCCTTGAGGAAGATGGATGGGTTCCACATGGCAGCTCGGGCCACCATCACTGAAGAGGCTGCTGTGGCTTGTCGAAAGTCCTCTATGTCCAAATATTCTTGGATGTGGTCATGAGATCCTCCGCTGAAAGGAAACAGGGGAGTGAGGGGTGTCCCCATCCTCATACCAGCATCTTCAGAAAAAAGCAACTCCCAGATCTGCTACTCATGAACCATGTGACTTTGGCCAAATCCTTCAGCTGTGAGTACTTGGGGAGACTGGAGGTTATAACACAAACCCCACCATGGGGTCAGAAACACCAAGTGAGAGAATACAGTGAAACAGCCTGAACCAGGCCTGGCACTTAGCAGGTGTCCCAGAAATTCTACCTTCCTTCCTCCTTCTTCATCCTAAATAGTGGCTAAAGCCAGCCCAAATCTGAAGACATAGGTCTGTAAGTGGATGCTGGGATCACAGGAAAACCCCCAGCCTGGGGCACCTATATACCTACTAACGGGTGGGTCAAAAACCACAGACACAGTGGTGATCATGAGAGGAAGGAAGGAGGCCCAGTTTGGTTGCAATTTCCTTTCCTGTCACCCCGAGGCCACAAGGGCCCCCTTGGAAACTGCTCTGTTTGCATCTGTTCCCTCAGGGGTCAGGTGGGAGGCTCAATCCAGACACAGCCTTGTATGTCTGGTGGGGAAGGCCCTCAGGTGGTAGCAGCTGCAATAGGATCCAGGGTCCTGAGAAGCCCCACCCTCTCCACACCACCCCTAAAACTCCTGGCCTGAGAACAACCAATCCTGGCTACCATCCCCAACCTTAACTCCCTCCCTCCTTCCCACCAGGCAGGCATGTCCTTTGTCAGGGCTCCGGGGCTTTGGAACTTCTCTGTTCCCATTTTGCCATCAGGCTCTATGCCATCCTAAGGTGCAAGGCTGCGATGGACTGGCCTACATGAACAGCACTCCAATGACAACTGGACACTGTCTTACTGCTAAGCCTCTGGGATAGTCATTGGTACCTTAGAACTGCCAGTCTCATTCCCTGGTCCTATAACTGCACAGAATGCTGATCTGGGCTTTGGACTGTGACCTGCCTTATGCCCCCTGAGCCACAGCTCTGTGTGCTCCGGCTTGGGACTGCTCGCCCTCTACCCTGCACACCTAACTCTGGGTGTGACATCACTTTCCCCTTGGGTCTGCTTTAGCAGCTGCTTTCTTGCTCTCCTTGTCCCCTGAACACTCCTACCCTCAACCCATCTATCAGAATGCCCTGGGACCCTGCCTACTGCACACCTACATCAGCCACTCACCAGAGGCCAGTGGACATGATAGGGATTTTTCAGCCTCATGCCCAACCTCATTTTTTGTCCTACCCTTTTTTCCTTTCTCCTTAGGTCATTTTTTAATGCTAGATCATTCCATTGTTTGTATGCCAGCTCAAATCTCTCTAAGTGAAGTAGAACATAAAAAAGTAAATGATGAGGAAGAGAGGCTTACTTGGCTATGACAGGAATGGAGAGGGTTTCAGCAATGGCTCTGATGGCTTCACAGCTTACAGGGTGCTGAGGTCTTTCCTCCCGTTTTCTTGGAGATAAAGAAATAAGATGGGGCTGAGGGCTGAGGCCATATCACAGTGCAAACACGTTTACCTTAGCCAAACCCTACCATCCTCCCTATTGAACCTCAGGAAGGCCATGTGGCCATGAAGGACAGGGTTCTGGGCTGCAGAGGATGGTTCTCCATGACCTGTGTTGTAAGGGGCAGGAGCAGCAGAGGTCTCTGCTGAGAAGGCAAGTCAGCTCTTACAGGCCTGCAGGTGAGGCATAACTGCAGAGGGCTGGTGTAGGTGGCCTGGCTCCCAAGGTCACACTGACTTTCCTTGGCTTCCCTTCACCTGTGCCAGAGATGAGAGGCAGTGCTATAAGAATGCTGCTCCTACTGTCCCGGTGCTGCCCTCCCTGCGAGACTGGGAACAGCTGCTGCCCTCAGACTGGCCACTCCCACACAGCTGCCTATGCTGAGGCTGAGTTGGGCAGCTGATCCTGGGGCGAGGCACCTGGCACCGGGCAGACCCAGCAGGGAGGACAGGCCACAGATCATGGCTGTCACAACAAGCCCCAGAAAGGTAGGGCCACAACCTGAAGCCCCACCTTCCACGGTCAACTCCAAAAGGTTCTTGTGTATGAGTGAGTGAGTCTTATGGATGCTGAAGTGAGGCCTGATCTAAGCTGTGCTCAGGAACAAGCGAGAGAGATGGTCAGCCAGACAGCCCTTGCTCAGGTCTTGTCTGCGTGCTTCTCCTCTGGCATGTTCCTCAACAAAACAGCTAGGGGCCACAGGGCCTCAGAAGGCCCTGTCAACCCAACCTCACCCCTATCTCCCCATGCCCCCAGCAGCCCATTCCAGTCCAGAACTCATCCTCAACAGCTTTGATGGCCAGAAAGCCCCCTCTTTAAGCTCACCCAAATCTGTCTTCCTGGTGTTTCCAACTACTGGTAAAAAGGAATAGTTATATTTATTCAGAGAACACCATATGCCAGGCACTGTGCCAAGGCTATGTATTCACAATCTCATAAAAGCCTCAAGACAACCTTATAAAGCAGATATTATCTTAATTTCCAAATTAAAAATGCAGTACTCAGAGAGGTTAAGTGATTTATCCAAGGATACACAGCCAACAAGCAGCAGGGCTGGGAGCCCAAACCAGACAGCCTAGAGCCTGCTGCCACAGGGAGGAGCTTGTGTGTACATGTGTAGCCTTTCACCGCCCCCTACTGGCTTCAACCCACACAGCTCTCCTTTTCTCTTACACATATTGGGAGTTACGGTTCCCTTCTCTGAAAATGCTGCCATAGACACAAAAGCAAAAAGTGGGCTGTTCCTATAAGACCCCTGAACCCAAAAGGAACATCATTCAGAGAAGAGAGATCACTCTGCTAAAGTCTGTTGACCTGGGATTCTGTACAAAAGTACATCATAGGGGCTCCAGGGTGGCTCAGCTGGTTAAGTGTCCAACTCTTGGTTTCACCTCAGGTCATGATCTCATGGTTCTTCAGGCTTTGCACTGACAGCACGGAGCCTGCTTGGGATTCTCTCTCTCCCTCTCTCTGCCCCTCTCCTGCTCGCATTCTTTTGTGCTCTCTCCCTCTCTCAAAATAAATAAGTAAACTTTACAAAAACAAAACAAAACAAAGCAAAAAAACCCATCATGGACACGGAACAAGTCTGACTGGGAAACCAAAAGTAGCCTTCAGCAACACCTCAGCTCCCAGAAGACAGCACATTAGCTACAGATACAAAAGCTGTTTAAAGTAGTCACTGTGACAGCTGGCAGTCCAAAAAGGGCAGACAAAAGAGACAGAGCCTTTAAAAGCACAGCCATCTGCATGAGGTCATTCAGGAGAGAAGCTATTGCTCAACACAGTGGAAAGCAAGTGAGATTCAGAGTCAGAGTTCTAATTCCACCACTTCCTGGCTGCATGGTACAACTGTGAACCTATCACTCAATCTCTACCATTTACACATCCTGAGGGTAGGGGCGTTTCCCCTTCCTCTTATGTCTTTAAACTCAATCTTCCTCTCCTTCTCTGTCTCTACACTCAGTGTAGTGTCTACCACCAATAGGTGCTCAGTGAATGAAACAAAGAAAAATGCCGGCCCATGAAGGATTTAGCTGCCCCTGGGACTCAATGGATGTCAAAGAGTTAGGCAGAGGCAGGCTGCATATGTAGAAGAAAAGTTGGCTGTCACCTGGGGTCTGGCAAAGGACTGCTACAATGGCCCTGCAAGCCAGTCACTAGATAGGGAACCACTCACCTCCCATGAACTGCAATGGCAGCAATGCCAGTCCTTTCTATCCGCTTCACAAGGCTCAGGGTATCTTCCAGCTGAGGAAGAGAACAGTCTGGGGTGGTTACAGAAGCTACCCAGCGAACAGCTGCAGCTCCGAACATGGGCTCAGCCCCACTCCCTTCTCCAACCTAAGTCAGCTCCTTGAGAACCATTCATCACCGCCCAATTCAACATCCTCAGAAAAAATCCTTACCGAGGGCAGGATGCGAATCTTGCAGGTCACAGGTCTGCGAGTCCCTTTAACAAGAGTGCTGAGGATCTGTAGAGAGGAAAACATAAACTCTTCTGGAAAAACCACCACAACTGCTCATACTAATTAACTCTGCTACAGACCTGTGTATCAGGTGCCTACAGTAATGTATGTCAATTTCTCAGTAAAACTAAAAAATCTTTTCAATTTTTAAAAAAGGTTCAGCTTAACATACTCCCTCCTCCATATGATTCTCAGGCCTAGTCCTGGTTGAGAACACAGAGCTGACAGCTTCTCCTGCTTGAAGGCAATGTTCCCTGAGTGCTGTTCCAGGACCAACTGAGTGAGAAAGCCAGGAAGGTTTTACAGGTCCTGGGTCCTGTTCTCAGGTGCCTCTCTTTAGGTGAGTCAGATATACAGAAGTGAAATGGCAAAGGAAAAGACAACATATTCAACACGTTAAAAAGTGTTAATTTGCACAGTAATTGCAAAAGACTTCAAAGAAAGATCAAGAAGTTATACAGGAAAGTGTCAGAGAAGTGGCAAGGCCAGATCATGCATGAATCAGAGATCAAGAGACATGAAGATGACAGTGAATGTCTGTGGCATTGCTATCTTCTTCCCTCATCGAAAATTTCAGGCCAGGAGTGCTGGGCTGGCTCAGTCATAGAACATCTGACTTTTGATCTCGGGGTCATGAGTTTGAGCCCCACCCACATTGGATGTAGACATTACTTTAGAATAATACTTTAAAAATATTTTTGTTTAATTTCAGGCTAAGCAAGCTGGAGGGAAGGTGATCCCAAGAGCTCTCTTCCAAGAAAGAACTGGATTGCCAGAACAGCTGAGAGGACACCCAGGCAGCTGGTGTCAGTCTTCCTTCTAGACAAGTGGGGGCAGCAGAGAGCCAGATTGCCAGAACCAGTCAAGGAGGCATTTCGGGGACATTCTCAGGCAAACAGCTCCAGAAGACATGAGACCAAAAGGCTGGGCTGAAAAGGAAGGTAGACAGATCATGGGCAAGACAGGGCCTGTTGGCCCAAGTACCAATACCAAAGACTAGCAGGAATGAAAATTCCCCAGATGCTGCCCCAGGAGGCAGACTGGACCTGTGGTCCTAGGGTCACTCGGCCAGGCCTTAAGGGGGCAGCTACCCTTTAAGACAGTGGGTGTGGGGAACTGCCAGGATCCACTGAGATACACAATAAAAATTCTCCCTTGAGTCCTATCCTTCATGCTGACAATAGCATCTCTGGAAGGTTCCTTTGCTAGTGCAGACTTACAATACTGTAATATTTGGGGCTCCTGGGCAGCTCAGTCAGTTGAGTGTCTGACTATTGATTTCGGCTCAGGCCATGTCGGGCTCTGCACTGAGTGTGGAACCTGTTTGGAATTCTCTCTCCCTCTCCCTCTGCCTCTCCCCTACCCATGCATGTGGTGCTTTCTCTCTCTAAAATAAATACAATGAAAAATTTTTTTAAAAAACAAAAGAACCCCCTGATGTTTGGTGACTGAAGCAACATCAGCTGGTTTGATCCAGTTCTCTGTTTTGCAGAACTTCCTTTGCTGTATTTCATCCAAGTAGCTCTAAGCACTTTCTTTGGTATTTCTGTTCATTTCATGTGCTTGTTCAGAATCAGGAAGGAAATTAGTAATCAAAATCCCCAGCCACCTGCAAGGGTCACATTTAAGGGAATGGGGGACTAGAATCTGTCTTCTGGATGGCTCTAGCATGAAATCCTCCTAGACTCAACTCTCCCAGATCCAAGTCACACCACCTGTCTCTGTAGTATGAAGTCTGTTGGGGAGAAGGACCTGAGACAGGCTCATAACAGGTAACACAGACAACAAAACACATCTACCCACAGGCAAGCTCAACTCACCAGATCTACCAGCTGACTCACAAAAGCAGACTTTTAGCTCCCCTGGTTGTTGGGGAATGAGTGGAAAGGATGATGGGAGAGCATAGGCTTAGGTATCACTGAGAACTGAGTTCAAGTTCTGGCCCTGCCAATTGTTAGCCTTGGCCTAAGTGCAACATGCACAGAGCGATGCCCTGGGCAGCCAGGGGGCCCAGCAGATCTTGTAGTCTAGGGGTTAGAGAAAGGATATTACTAACAAAGGGTCTAAAATTAAGGTTCTTAATCTAGAAAAGATATATCAGAGTTACCTAAGAAGATTTTTCAAAAGACTAATTAATACTTCCTTCCTGCCCCTATCCACCGCACGCCTATACAGAATTCTCAACAGCTAGAACACCAAAAAGGGAAGGAACAGAATGAACTGAGTGGTGTAACTCTTCTGCCTCATGTGTGAAACATGCCTTATCCAAAGAGGGGCAGTGGAGAAGACGGACCCAACAGCCTAGGTAGTAGAAGCCAGAAAACTGGAGAATAATAAAGATGTCTGAGTGCACACATTGTGAAGCAATACCACCCCATGCTGGGGCCCTCTTCCCTAAGGGTGGTGATGAGTTTGACATCCACAGTTGTCCATATCCACTCCATCCTGCAGAGACAGAGGTGTCTGACTGGAGGTTCCTAAGTCCAGATGTCAACTGACCCATAGCTAGACACTCCTAAAATACACCCAGGCACCTTTAAATTGAGATGCCATCAAAAGTGGGCACTGATACTGGCATAGGAGTCACAAGACCATGGCTCTAGACTCTGCTCTGCCTGCTACCTACTTGCTACATAATCTTGAGCAAACCACTTTTATCTCTCTGTGCTTTAGTTTTATTATTCTTGATCAAATAGAGATAACAAATGCCTGCCCTATTTACTTCAAGGGGTTTGAGGAACAAATGGAATAAATGCTAGAATATACTTTGAAAAGAAAATTACCCTACAAACTGCAAGGATATACTATAGGTACTATATACATATATAGGCACATTATATATATTATTATTACATATTATATATATTACATATAATGTTATTTATATGTAATACATAAGTATTATAATGTGTGTGTGTGTGTGTGTGTGTGTACCCCTATCTGCATGTAGGAAGTATGAAAAGGCACCAAGCCCCTCAACACATTGGTCTTCCAATATCCCAAAGACAGTGGGGCTAGAGGAATATGTATGGTTGAGCTGCTGACACAGTAGCCAGTAAAAATAATGACAGCTTTTATTGATGGTGCCCTATCTCAAGTCGCTCTAGCCCATGGGAGGCACTAAAGGTTTAAAGTCCAGATAGGGAAGCGAGAATGGAGAATGAAAACAAAGGAACTAAGAGGAGCAACGAGGAAGAGAGCTGGTAAACTGAGAAAGAAGTAAAAGGGGTGGTAGAAAATGTCACCCCTACAGGCCCTGGCAGCTCGCAACACGGAGGCCAAAGCCAACCTGTCTGCAGGGCCTCATAAACCTGGCTTTTGGAATCACTAAGGGAAGGGAGCAGAGGCAACCAAGTTCAATTTGCCTCACATGACACTGGTCTGGCTGCTCTCAAGGCTGGTGGTGGACTCTACCAGTGTGGAGTGGAAGGGATCCACCGTTGCTCTCAGCAAGCCCCCTGGGGAGAAGCCAATCCCCACCATTGGCACGGAGTCTGTCCACAGTCTATAGGTAGCCTGGCCTATGCTCTCATGATCTTTTTAGAAGGGAAACACGCAATATAGAGGAGCCTCTAAATGACTCCTTAAGCCCCTCGGTTCTCAGTTAACATGTCTCTAAGCCCTGGGCTTTGAAGGAACTCCAAGGCTGCTGTGGGTTTGCTCAGGGGTTCCCAAACCCCAGTATGTCACAATCACTAGGAAGCCTTTCAAAAATTTTCCAGAATCCAAGGGTGCCTAGCTGGCTCAGTCAGTAGAGCATACAACTCTGGATCTTAGGGTCGCAAATTCAAGCTCCACATTCGGCACAGAGCTTACTTAAAAAAAAAAAAAAAATTTTCAAGGGGCGCCTGGGTTGCTCAGTCAGTTAAGCATCTGACTTCAGCTCAGGTCACGATCTCATGGTTCGTGGGTTCGAGCCCCGCATCAGGCTCTGTGCTGACAGCCAGCTCAGAGCCTGGAGCCTGTTTCAGATTCTGTATCTCCCTCTCTTTCTCTGACCCTCCCCTGCTCATGCTCTATTTCTCTCTGTCTCTCAGAAATAAATAAAACATTTAAAAAAAAATTTTTTTTTAAATTCCAGACTCCACGTGGAGTAACTGAGAAACTGATTCATTAAATCTGGGGAGGCAGAGGAGGTACCCAGGTGGCTCAGTTGGTTAAGCATCTGACTTTGATTTCGGCTCAGGCGATGATCTCATGGCTCATGAGTTCGAATCCCACAGCAGACTCTGCTGGCAGTGCAGAGGCCACTTCGGATCCTGTCCTCCTCTCCCTGCCCTCCCCCGTTCACGTGCACATGCTCTCTCTCTCCCTTTCTCTTCCTCTCTCTCTCCCTCTCAAAAATAAATTAACATTTAAAAAAATCTTGTTGGGGGGGAGATGAAGGTGGGTGCATGTTCGAACAACTCTAGTTCACAGGCATGTTTAAGGACTTCTACTTTCACTCCTGCAGGACTTACCTTCTCAATCTTGTCAGGGTCTGATAGCAGAGCAGCTCCCATTCCTCCCTAAGGAAAAGCACACAGAGGGTCTTCTCACACCTGGAGGAGGGTGGTCCCTCCCCATGGTATGGCAACATGGTGTGGCAACCTGACACTCACAGCCAAGAGACCAAGGTTCACTAGCAATTAGCACTACCCCTCAGCAAGTAGGAAAGCAGCAGCAACCAAGCCCATAATGTCAGGGATCAGAGTTTGATGAATTCTAAAAGTCATCACTCCTATCTTAGCAAAGCCCACAGATCTATCTAGAAGTGGGTTCTATAAAAATTGTTTCTCAGGAGTGCCCATTCCCTACCCAGGGTCTCAGTGTCTTAATAAACTAAACCCCTGGGGCGCCTGGGTGGCTTAGTCAGTTAAGCGTCCGACTTTCGCTTAGGTCATGATCTCGCGGTTCGTGGGTTCGAGCCCCGCGTCGGGCTCTGTGCTGACTGCCAGCTCAGAGCCTGGAGCCTGTTTCAGTCTGTGACTCCCTCTCTCTCTGACCCTCCCCTGCTCACGCTCTCTCTCTCTCTCTCTCTCTCCTAGAAATAAATAAAACATTAAAGAAAAATAATAAAATAAAAATAAAATAATACACTAAACCTCACAATCTGCCAAACCCTTAAGAAAGCAATGAAGCATTCTCCCTTTGAAATGAGATACAATGTATTATCCTACCAACACTTGCTTTGGTACCACCACTGCCAGCAAAGCCAGTTAGAGGAATATAACTGGCAAATCTTGTCCAGGCTCTTCTTCCCTGCCAGCAACAATGCTCCAGACCAATATCAAACTCTAGCAAAAGCCCCAGCTAATGGAAACCAACAACCTGAGGAGCTACTTAAATCTTGACATTAACACTGGTTGAGTCTTGATAGTGGGATTACTGGTGATTGGTCTTTTTTTTAATTTATTTTTTTTGTACTTTTCTATATCACACAAGTTCTGGACAACGGTATGAATTGCTTTAATAATCAGGAAAGGGAAGGATCTCTACAATGGTGAAAGGGAGAAAACAAATCCAATAAATAAATCCCTTGTCTGTATATAGACTGCACACTAATGAATGCTCATAGGATGATGTGCCCAGAAATTTTAAGTTCGCTTATTACAGTCTAATTTCCTATTTAAGGATGACAGATTAGAATCAGAGAACCCTGAACCACTACAGACTCAGCCAGCCTGAGCTTGCATTTCAGAAGAAAATGGGAAGAGCAGAGGAGCCACCAGCCCTGGCATACCTTGGCTACAGATACAAACCTTAGAGGAACTTACGGAAAGCCCTGGCCGCTCACCCAGGCTCCACATGTCCACACTCACGCACGATCCAGCCCTTCCTTGGGGAATCACGGAATCTAAAATCCAGTCTCACTGGCCCCTCCACAACAATGGGCTTTCTCAATTAGTATTTCCTTCCTTCCTTCCTTTCTATTTAACTTAATAGAATTTTTTGAATAGGTAACACATTAAAAATTTTCAAGGCTCAAAAGGGCAAAAAGTAAGAACTCTCCTTCCCTGAGGAATGGAAAACTTTTCAATTTATACTTTCTATAAGGCTTCAATTTTTGAACCATGAGAAGAGATTGGCTATTCAGGTGGCCTGTACTGATATAGCACACTACTAGGTACCTCTTCTGACTGGTCAGGGCCAGTGCTGTGCCAGTTGTTAGTTATTTTGAGAAGTACCCCTAAAATGGGAATTTATTCCCTATGCCAAACCAAATAAAAACTTGGTTTCCTTCCCCAGGGAAAAACAGTGTTACTAGTTTCCTGTGTGTCTTTCCAAAAATATTGTATGAAGAGAAATGTAAATATATATATATATATATAAATATTCATTCCCCATCCCTCATATTTAAATTTTTTTTTTTTTATGTTTTATTTATTTCTAGGAGAGAGAGAGACAGCGTGAGCAGGGGAGGGTCAGAGAGACAGGGAGTCACAGACTGAAATAGGCTCCAGGCTCTGAGCTGGCAGTCAGCACAGAGCCCGACGCGGGGCTCGAACCCACGAACCGCGAGATCATGACCTAAGCGAAAGTCGGACGCTTAACCGACTAAGCCACCCAGGCGCCCCCCCATCCCTCATATTTAAATGGTGGTACACCGGGGTGCCTGGGTGGCTCAGTCAGTTAAGCGTCCGACTTCGGCTCAGGTCATGATCTCACGGTTCATGGGTTCAAACCCCGCATCGGGCTCTAGCTCTGCATCACAGCTAGCTCAGAGCCTGGAGCCTGCTTCGGATTCTGTGTCTCCCTCTCTCTCTGACCCTCCCCTGCTCACACTGTCTTTCTCTCTCAGAATAAATAAAACACTTAAAATAAATAAATAAATGGTGGTACACAATATCTAATTTGGCTCTTTGCTTTTTCATTCCACAATGTATTGGGGAGATTATGCCACTAATTTAAACTCCGCTTCTTACATAATTCAGAAGCACAAAGGAGTAATTAGAAGACAGCAAAATATGGTCCCAAGTTTTCAACTCCTCATAGACAATTTTAAACCTCCATAATTCCTTGAAATAGCTGTCGATAAGCCCTTTGCTTTTCAAGCATCCAACGATCCTTTCCCTCAAGTAGCCTTCTGCTTCCTGGCCTAAAGCCAGAGCCCCGAGCCATATAACTCCTGGGAGCAGAGTGGCTGACTCTGGGCAGTGGATCCAGGGGGACATCTGCTATGTCTACACTGCAGATCCTGACCATGCACCCTGTGATAAGGCTCCCAGCGGCAGCCCTGCAGCCAGTGTCCTTGGTATCTGCCCCACACGTGCTTTCCTTCCAGCAGTCCCAATCACGCTGAAGGCCACCTGTCCTCCCCGCCATTGGTCTTTCCTCCCTCTCCCCCAACCACTCGCCCTACCTCCCCACACCTGGTCTGATTATTTGCCGTCCAAGTCCTATCAATTTCTACTCGTTTCACTTCTCTCTCCATACCTGGTCTCCCCTATGGACCCAGGACCCTCATCTCCTAAATCTGTGTTTCTAAGTATTCTTCACAGAATATATTTGGAAAGAGACATAAGAAACTAGTAACACTGGTTTCCCCTAGGGAAGTAAACTAAGTTTCTGATCACAGGCCTTCTCTGTTCAAAAAGCCCAGAAATATCAGAAGTCCAAGTTCAGCTAATCTGGTCCTAACCAAAATCCTCTGCTCCTCTGCTTCCTCTTTGTCTTTCGCTCCCCAATTCTCTAGTCAAATCAAGGTTCTCTGTCTCTACCTCATGTTGGCCTCCAGGCCCCTGCCTCTGCCGCTCCCTCTGCCTGCAGGGTCCCAAATCTCCACATTTTCCTATATAATTCTGAGGAGGGCTGCCTTTCCACTCCTTTCTGTGAGCTACCCTAGCACTCTGTTCTGACCTTCTGATACGACAATGGGGACATGCATATGGCATCCTCTATTTTTTTAATGTATGTCTCAGTTTTATTCATGAAAAGACAAAGTCCTGTTCACATTATTTTTTCTTTTAACATTTACATCATTAATTACTCAGGCATGAGTGCTTTGGGTATGTTTATTTATGTGTATACGTGTATGTACGCGTATATATATAAAATTTCTCCTGAACTATTTCAGGCAAGGTAAGTTACATTATATTATACCCCTTCACATCGAAATATTTCAATGTCTATTTTCTAAGAATAGAGATATTCTTGGAATGCCTAGTTGACTCAGTCAGTGGAGCATGCAACTCTTGATCTAAGGGTTGTGAGTTTGAGCCCTACATTGGGTGTAAACGTTACTTAAAAATAAAATCTTAAAAAAAAAAGAATAGAGATATTCTTATAAAACCATAGAAGAGTTATCAATTTGATAAATTTACACTGATACAGTATTTCTAGCTAATCTACTAAGGTCCGTATTCCAATTTTGCCAGTTGACCTAATAATATCCTTTTGCACATTTTCCCATCTGGTAGAGGATCTAGTTCTAGTCCAGAGTCAGGTTATCATACTTAGTTGTAATGTCTTGTTAGTTGCCTTTACTCTGTACTGTGTACTTTTAAGGCATGTAAACAAATCAGTTTACCTTGGTGGAATACTCTTTTGGACAGCCCATGTTGACATCAATCCCAGCCACATCATTTTCCCTGGAAAAACATGAAATAAGAAAAGTAATCAATATTCAACTTAAGCAGAGAAGTTAGAGTCAAAGGCATGGGTCTGTGCTCATGAACCTCTTACTGTGTCCTTCAGTAACAGAAGGTGAAAAAACTGGCCTCTGAAATGTACAACTGCCTTCCCTGAGCAGACCTCAAGAGGAAGAGTATTTTGGGCTCAAACATCTAAAAGGGCTAGTTGTAGAGGACTTTGTTACTTGGGGATTTTATCAAATAATCCAAATACTGAGTGACAGCCACACTGAACCTAGTCCTAGAGGTCCAGTTCCGGCTGGGGTAGTGACAGCTATTTGTCAATGCACAGAAGTAACATGAGTACAAGAGCCCCTTCCTGAAGCACTGGTTCTAGTAGAAGTTACAGGACTGTCTTTGTTTGTTGAGCTGCACAGTTAGCTTATGCCAGACAATTTTGAGATGTAGAAAGGACCCTTAGCTCATCTTCTGGTATATATATAGTTAACAGTCTGTAGCTACTGCCTGAGTTCCTTCTCACTATTACTTTAATTAATAACAATAGCTAACAGGGCACCTGGGTGGCTCAGTTGGTTAAGCGTCTGACTTTTGATCTTGGCTCAAGTCATGATTTCACAGTCCATGAGATCAACCCCTGCATCGGGCTCTATGCTGACAACGTGGAACCTGCTTGGGATTCTCTCAATCTCTCTCTCTCTCTCTCTGCCCCTCCCAGCTCGCTCTCTGTCTCTCTCTCAAAATAAATAAATAAACATGAAAACAATTTTTGAAAATAATAACAGCTAATACTAATCACTTAGTATGTGCCTTACTGCAAAGACATTTATATGCATTATTTCATTTACCCTCCCCTATAATGCTAGAGGTAGGTAGTAGTTCAAGTCTCATTTTTTTTAAGATTTGACATTTTAATTAATTAATTAATTAATTAATTTAAATGTTTGTTTTGAGAGAGACACACACACACACATTGGGGGTGGAGGGGCAGAGAGTGAGGGAGAAGAATCCGAAGCAGTCTCCAGGCTCTGAACTGTCAGCACAGAGCCGGATGCAGGGCTCAAACTCATGAACCGCAAGATAATGACCTGAGCTGAAGTCAGATGCTTAACTGACTGAGCCACCCAGGTGTCCCTACAGTTTCATTCAAAGATAAGAAAACTAAATTCTCAGTATGGTTAAGTAACACGCCTACGGTCACTCAGCAAGCAGCAACCCAGAATTCCAACCCAGGTCTGTCTGACTCCAAAGCCCATCTCTCACCTTCATTAACTTAGGCAGCAAAAAGCCTTACCTACACTTCATGAGACTTAAAACCTTAAGGCTCATAGTCATAAGAATCCCTGGAAAGGAAGTTTCACGAATAAACCCTAGAAAATAGTCACCCAAACAGAGGTTATCTGGGATCTGGGCATAGTGGGTACATGTGAGTCCCAGGCCAGTCCTCGAAAGCCACAAACAGAGAAAAAAAACACTCTTAACCTGGAAAGAGAGGGTAATGAGTTAAGAGGTAAGAGGGTGGTCACCTCCTAAGTCACCAGAAATAATAAAGCTTCACAGGAGAGGCAAGGCAACCCCAAAGAGAACTTACACAAGTCTGGCCACAGCAAGGGCTCGCTCTGCATCTGAAGTCCCCTGGGAACACAAGACGCTGCATCAGCCACCATCCCTGACACAGAAACACATGCACAGACAAATACCTCTGTGTGTGCCATACGTGCGCATGCATGCACATGGGTGCACACACAGAATCTGCTGGCATTCTCTTAAACAGCCAGCCAGCCCACTGAACTAGCTCACTGTCAGAGGTAAAAATTGGACCTAAAAGGCCTAGAAAATGTCCTCAATGCTGTGATTACTTTCAAATTGTATAAAAAAGTTAACAAAATTTTATAATAAACATTCGTATACTCACTACTCACATTCTACAATTAACATTTTGCTATATTTGCTTTATCTTGTCTACCTATTGTTCTTACCATTTTTTTAAAAATGTAAACATCATTCAAAACCTATTTCTGAAAAATCACCAAAAATTCCCAAAGTGAGAGAAGAGCACTAGGAGTCATTACAACCCTTACATAAATGAACTACCCTTAAGGAAACAGAATTTTCTTTTTACGGGAAATATATACAGACTATACAAAAACAAGGAACATGAACTGAATATCCAATTCTAGGGGGTAAAAATATTTAAGTCATGACAAACAATTCCTACAACTAAGGAAATTAAACTTAACACTAGAGGCATGCAGCAGAGAACTATGGCTTGATTTCCTTAAATTGTCTCTAACAGTGTAATTGCTCATGAACAAATATTTGAAAAATATTAATGCAGAGTTTTAGGAAACCACCACTATGCAACAGAGCCCAGCTGTTTAAAGATGGGGGGCCTTAGGAGGCGCTCAGCCCTGAGATCTCATACCATCTGGAAGACAACCCTGCTCTGTTCTCTTTTGCAGGTGCGGAAGACTACTCGGTCATCAGGGGCAACAAAGTCCACCGTGCTCAGCACCTCTGCAAGAAAACACAAACACATGGGGCCACCTGATGAAGAAGCAACTTTAACCTAGCCTAATCTCTGGAAGAAAACACAGGAAAAATATCACTTTGAAGGGGGAAAAAGGGATGCTGGAAGTATACAATTCTTAAAAGAAATCAGTGTGCACATGGAGGCTTCTGAGATGCTGATGATGGTCCCTTCCCCGACCTAGGTGATGCTTAGTTACATGGTTGATTGCTTCACACTTGTTTGTTACACTGCTTATGCTTGTGTTTTATGCACTGTCATGGTGTAGTGTTTACAGTTCACAAAAACGTACATACAAGAAACCTTGTCTATGTTTCAGATTTGGCCCAAATTTCCCCAGATATCACTCTGAAGTTCAATAAAGTTGCTCTTTCATTTTTTTTTTAATGTTTATTTATTTTTGAGAGAGAGTGAGAAAGAGAGTGAGTACAAGCAGGGGAGGGGCGGTGGGGAGAGGGCAGGCACAGAATCTGAAGCAGGCTCCAGGGTCTGAGCTGTCAGTACAGAGCCCGACACGGGGCTCAAACTCACGAACCATGAGATCATGACCTGAGCCAAAGTCAGATGCTTAACCGACTGATCCACTCAGGTGCCCCTTAGTTGCTCTTACTTAATTATTTAGGTACTATGAGCAGAGATTTATTCAATTAAAGGCAACCTCATTATGTGCACTTATGTACTTGCAAATTTGCCTGCTTGCTAAAATGTATCTGTAACCCCAAAGTCAGTATGTAGAACTACAAAATTAAAAAAAAAAATTCAGTCACCTGATGCACATGTTCCCAGCTGAGGTTAAACAAGGCAATACTCTACATTTTTGTTTCAGCTCTCATTCCATAAATAAATATCCTTCTGGTGGCATATTTAATGCCACATTTTTTTGCATTTATGTGTCTTTTGTTTCTGTTTAAAATGGTCCCAAGCACAGTGCTAAACAACCTTTTGTTCTAACATGAAGTTTTAGTACTGCTGGCTGTGAGTTCAATGTTGGTGTAGAAAAACACATAAAACAAGGTTGTGTATTGATCTTTTAGTGAAAATTTTGTGACCAGAGGCTCGCAGGAACCTAATCCTGTATTTCTCTCTCTTTTTTTTTAATGTTTTATTTATTTCTAGGAGAGAGAGAGAGAGAGAGACAGCGTGAGCAGGGGAGGGTCAGAAAGACAGGGAGTCACAACTGAAACAGGCTCCAGGCTCTGAGCTGGCAGTCAGCACATAGCCCGACGCGGGGTTCAAACCCACGAACCGCAAGATCATGACCTAAGCGAAAGTCGGACGCTTAACCGACTAAGCCACCCAGGCACCCCAATCCTGTATTTCTCTTAAGAGCAATGTTTCAGTATTTGCTAGTCTGGGTTTCAAAGCAACTTTATATAACATCACTATTGCAAATAACAAGAATTTCATATGCTCTTCATAATAGAGTTCTATAGTACTACCATTATTAGCTTTCAAAGATGACTGCCACATGGAAGAGATCCAACATGGCAGATGGAAGAATACACCAACCTTGTGCATTTATTTTGAGAAATAAAAGAGATCTTTAGTACACATCAAGCACTTCCACAAATGGAAGCAGTTATTATCACTCCAGCACTAAACAGATTAGAAGGTTAAAAAGGTAGGATAGAGTTGGTAACATGTTGAAAGAGGTAACTGAAATGAATTCCAACAGCACAGGCTCATGACTGGCAGTAGGAAGACTGGGAGAAGAACCACAAAAACTTAGTGTGTTTATATGACAGCTTTATTTATAACAGCAAAATACCGGAATACTTGTTAAAGGACTAATGAAATCAGTTCTGATATAGTTATTTGTAGGTACTGACATGGGAAAATGTCCTAGCAAAAAATAAGCAAAATATGCATAGCCTGATCATAAGAAAGGGTATATATATAAACATGTTCTATTTGTATATACACACTTTACTAAATGTGTAAAAAATATACATTATTCCTCTCTGTGATTATTTCTTCAAATATGAGATTATGGGGGATTTTCATTTTCTAGGTTATACATGCCTACAATAATAAGTTTTCATTAAAAAAAACTACAACTCTAAAACAATTAAAGACAAAATTGAGTCATAACTTCTGTTGAATTGATATTAAGGTTTCACAAATGTGCATACATTTCAAAAACCTCAAACACCACCACAACTCTAATCAAAACAGAATCAGCCTCATCAATAAAGCACCAGCAAAACCACAATTTAGCACAACCACTTCTATTTGCAAAGTACTTACATGTACCTTATCTTAATTGATTCTCACTCCAACCCTATGATTTAAGTAAAGCAGGGATTTTGATTTCATTTTATAGCTGAAGAAATGGAGGCAGAGAGGTCATATGACTTGCCCAAAGTCACACAGCTATCGAGTGGCACAGCCAGGAGCAATGCTGAAGCCATCCCAAGCCCAAGGCTTTCCTATGTTTATTTCTATGCCAGCAAGCCTGTGGTGGAAGGTAATCTCAGTCTCAGCCTGTTCCACATCTGGTTCTTCATCACAGTCTCTGGAGAGTAGTGACTCTTTTCAAGGGAGCACATGATTCACAAAATTACACAGTCAGACAAGGAGCACACCAGAAGGACACCATCACCCCAGGCAGGGGAAGTGGTAGAGTTGCATGGGCCTGACCAGGCACATGTACAATCCTGGGACCAGAATCACACTCACCATTAACAACTCTCTTGCACTGAAGCATCTTGAGGTCAATCAGCTCCTACAGAGGAATCAGAGGGCATTTGTCAGTGCTGGTAATGTACATCCTGGGTACAGGGGTAGGGACCCTCATTACAACCTAATGGGGGTCACTTGGTCTGTCACCCTACTACCAACAACAAATTATGGCTTTTGGGAAATGTAGTGCTGACCTCCCCACCTCAACATGGCAAGCAGGAGCCTGAGTGAGCTACACTCAATCAGCTGCTCTTCCCAGGGACCTTGGAGATACTGGGGGCCTAGAAAGGGTGAGCCACTCAGGGAGTCAGAGACAAGACAACAGCCCAGATTATGGGCTAGACACTTTCCTCACCTACTCGTCTCAGCTCCAGTCGATCCCCTCAAAGAACCTTGCACCTCATCCTTATACAAACAGCAGACAGTGAAAGGCTCCCAGGAAACATCCAAATGACAGAGGCAGGACCAGTTAATAAAAGCAGAGGGAGAAGACTTGAGTCTAAAACTCCAGTCCAACATGGGTCACACTGTGTGGACACAAAAGAGGTAAGCTCTTTAGCCCTGGACATATTCAAACAGACTCAGGGAAGAAAGGACAAAGAGGTTTCTTCAAAATTGGGATCATGAAAATGAATGGCAAGCTCTTGTCCCCTGAAGAATTGAGATCCTCTGCCTCTTGGTAGGAGACAACTGATCTGCTTTGTTCAGTGATCATTTCAAAAAATGTGTAAAAAAAAAATCACAGGAGCCAGGCACCTGTTACACTGCCCAGAAGCTCATGCCCAGGGGCTCTGGGGGTTCCGAAAAATATAGGAAGGAACTTTGTCCCCTGGTCCTCATCTCCATACTGAATACCTACCTACTCCATACTGACTACCTGGCAACTCCAGCCAGGTGGGCACAACAGCCTTTGCTTCCTGAGGGGAGCCATAGGGCTAAAGCGGCCAAAGGACACCTATAGCATCCGTGGGGCTCCCACAGCATCCCCACCAGCAAGGTTAGTACACACTGTGGGTGTTTCTGTGGCTCTTCACTCCATGTGGCAGTCAGTTCAACAAGTATCTGATGTCCACCAGGCCTGGCCGAACAAATCACCACTACCAAACAGTTATGGATAAACGGCTGCCATTTAAGCCCTAAGAACCAATGTTGTGTCCCAAGGGATGGACAGAGCCCCACAGAGACCCGTGTAGCCAGTGATCTCAGTTGCAGGAACAGGCAAAAAGGCAAGGGGACAAGTGGGCCTGTACTTATAAAAAGAAGCTCTGCGGGGGCGCCTGGGTGGTTCAGTCGGTTGAGTGTCCGACTTTAGCTCAGTTTATGATCTCACGGTTTGGGAGTTCAAGCCCCACATTGGGTTGTCTGCTATCAATATGGAGCCCGCTGTGGATCCTCTGCCCACCTCTCTCTCTCTGCCCCTCCTCCCCCCCAAAATAAATAAAACATTAAAAGAAGCAGCAGCAGCAGCAGCAACAGCAGCATCTCTGCAGCCAGGCTGGCCTTTGGCTGGAGAGGAGCGGGGTAAAGCATGGCAGGCCCATGCTGAGGCCCCAGCCCTGCCGGCAATAACTTGTCCCCCTCAGGATTCCCAAAGCCCCCTCCACTGAGTCCACCTTTACTATCTCTTCATATGCCAGTTATAGATACACCTGTCATATCTTAGACTATGAACCCCCCGAGGAGGATCCTGTGTACACACAAAAGTAGGCTTTGCGGACCCAGGCCAGGTAGCCTGAGCCCCAAGAGGAGGAGTTAAGGCAAAATGGCCCTTGAGCTGTCTTATTTTGTTTTCCATCGCCTCACCATATCAAAAGAGCCTTTGGGGCCTGGCTACTGTCTCTATCTTCTTCAAACCACCAGCATCCAGCACATTACAAGCTCTCACTTAACATCTGCTGGAGCCTCAAGACCTTACACAGAGCGGGGGAGCCTGGGTGGCTCAGTCAGTTAAGCGTCTGACTCCAGCTCAGGTCATGATCTCATGGTTTGTGGGTTCGAGCCCCATGTTTGGCTCTGTTCTGACAGCTAGCTCAGAGCCTGGAGGCTGCTTCGGATTCTGTGTCTCCCTCTCTCTCTGACACTGTCTCTCTCTCTCTCAGAAATAAATAAATAAATAAATAAATAAATAAATAAATAAAATATTTTAGGGGCGCCTGGGTGGCTTAGTCGGTTAAGCGTCCGACTTTTGCTTAGGTCATGATCTCGCAGTTCGTGGGTTTGAGCCCTGCGTCGGGCTCTGTGCTGACTGCCAGCTCAGAGCCTGGAGCCTGTTTCAGTCTGTGACTCCCTCTCTCTCTGACCCTCCCCTGCTCACGCTGTCTCTCTCTCTCTCTCTCTCTCTCTCTCTCCTAGAAAAAAAAAAAGAACCTCCCTACCTTGGTGAGATTGGCTGTTTAAAATAAATAAATAAATAATAAATTAATTAAATAAATAAATGAATGAATGAATAAATAAATAAATAAATAAATAAAATATTTAAAAAAAATTTTTTAAAGACCTTACACAGAGCAGATGTTCACCTGCTTAAGTGAAGAAATTAACTTAAATTGTCATCAATAAAACCACAAGTGTGTCCACTTACTCACATACTCTCAACACCACTGTTCATCAATTTTACTTATTTTAGTTAGTTCTATGAATATAAAATGGAACCTCATCGTTTTGTTTTGCTTTGGTTTTCACTGTATTTCCTTTTAATTAGTGAAAACAAACATTGTTTTTCCAAATGGGAGAGTTTATCATCTGTGCATCTTCATAGCACACTGCCTTTTACAACTATGCAAGTTGCAGGAAAAAGTCTATTCTTTGTCAAACTGGATATTGAGTTTTTCTGTCTTAATTATCACAAATTATTTTCCTATGTCACTACCATTCCTCAATTTTTTTTACCTACACCCCCATTTTTTTCTATTTTTAATTGAGGTATAGTTGACATTATTTTTTTAAGATTAAGTAATGTCTACACCCAAAGTGGGGTCTGAACTCACAACCCTGAGATCACCATTTGTATGCTCTCCCTGTTGAACCAGCCAGGCACCTCAGTTGACATATAATATTTTCAAGTGTACAACATAGTGATTCAACAATTCTATATGTTATGAAATGCTCACTACGAGAAGTGTAGTTAACATGTGTCACTCTACAAAATTATTACAATATTATTGATTATATTCCCTATGCTGTACTTTTCTCTTTTTTTTTTCCTTTTAGGGAACAATGCTGTACTTTTCAACCCCGTGACTTATTTATATTATAATAAGAATTTTGTACCTCTTAATCCCCTTCACTTATCTCACACATCCCCCCAATCTCTCCTCTGGCAACCACCAGTTTGTTCTCTGTATTTATGAATTTGTTTCTCTTTTCTTTGTTGTTTGTTGTTTATTTGCTTTGTTCTTTAGATTCCACACGCAGTGAGATCATACGGTCTTTTTCTTTCTCTGTCTTATTTCACTTAGCATTAATACCCTCTAGGTCCATCCATGTTGTCACAAACCTCAATTTCTATTAGACATACATTCTATTTTTATAGAAGAGACCACCCTAACTTTGCCAATAACAGTGCCTTCTCGTTTCTAAATATATCTCTATTGTATAGTTAAGAATATAACTTTAACTGGTTTTTCTTTTTAAAATGAATTTAGCTTTTTAATTTATCTGAAAATGAAGGCCATTTATAAGTCACTTTTTCCTCGAATGGCTATCCAATGTTCTGAACAACATTTAATTTAATTTAATTTAATTTAATTTAAAATTTTTTAAATTAGGCTCCACACCCAACATGGGGCTTGAACTCACAACACTGAGATCAAGAGTCAAGTGCTCCACTGGCTGAGCTAGCCAGAAGCCCCACAACATTTAATTTTAAAATGTCTTATCAGGGGCATCTGAGTGGCTCAGTCATTTAAATGCCCAACTCTTGATTTTGGCTCAGGTCATGATCTCACAGTTTGTGAGACTGAGCCTCATGTCAGGTTCCGTACTGGGAGTCTGCTTGAAAATCTCTCTCTTTCTCTCTCTCTCTCAGCCCCTCCCCTGCTTACACATACTAACTCTCTCTCTCTCTCTCTCAAAATAATGAAATGAAATGAAATGAAATGAAATGAAATGAAATGAAATGAAATGAAAGGCTCTATCATGTATGGGCTTATTCTTCCTTGTCTGTTACATACTATGCTCCTAAGTCTGAAATATGCCCTGCACCTTCATCTCCTCCAATCTCCCTGGCTTGTTTTCTCTGCCTGAGCTGATCATAACAGTTTATCACCAGTGTCACTCGGAGCACCTGGGTGGCTCAGTCAGTTGAGTGTCCATCTTGATCCTGGCTCACGCTGTGATCTCATGCTTCCTGGTATCATGCCCCAAGTCAGGCTCTGTGTTGATGGTGTGGATACTGCTTGGGACTGTCTCTCTCCCTCTCCCTCTGCCCCTCTCCAACTCAGATGCATGCACATGAGCTCTCACTCTCTCTCTCTCAAAATAAATAAATAAAAATGAAAAAAAAATAATCCAAATGTCGATCAATTGATGAACGGATAACCAAATTGTGGGGTACACATACAATTATTAGTCAGCCACTAAAAGGAATGAAGCACAGATACATGCAAAGATGTGGATGAACCTTAAGAATATTATGCTACGTGAAAGAAATCAGGCATAAAAGACCATATATGGTACCATTCCATCTATATGAAATGTTTAAAACAGGCAAATCTACAGAGACAGAAAGTAGAATAGTGGTTTACAGAGACTAGGAGAACGAGAAATTGGGGAGGGACTGCTAATGGATATTTAGGTTTCTTTCTTTTTTTTGGTGAGGTTTCTTTTTGGTGTGGTGAAAATGTTCAACAATTGATTGTAGTGATGGATGCACAATTCTGTACATATACATATCTCCATACAACCATATCTCAATAAAGATGTTAAAAAATGCTTAGAGGAACAAAGTTGGGTCAACTGACAAAATTAGAACATGGAAAATAGATTTTAAAGAAGTATTATATCAATGTTAAATTTACTGAAGATGATGCCTGTCATAAATAT